GGTGGCTATGTGTGTGGCTATGTGGGTGTGTGGCTATGTGGGTGTGTGTGTGGTTGCGTGGGTGTGTGGCTATGTGGGTGCGTGACTGTGAGGCTATGTGGGTGTGGCTTGTGTGGGTGTGTGGCTATGTGGGTGTGTAAGTGTGTGTGTGGGTGTGTGGTTGTGTGTATGTGTGTGTGTGTGGTATGTGTGGGTGTGTGGGCTGTGGGTGTGTGTGTTATTTGGGTGTGTGGTTATGTGGGTGTGTGGTTATGTGTGTGTGTGTGGTTATGTGGGTGTATAAAAGGTTTGGATGTGTGTGGCTATGTGGGTGTGGCTGGTGGGTGTGTGGCTATGTGGGTAAAAGTGGACTGTGTGTGTGTGTCTATGTGGGTGTGTGGCTATGTGGGTGTGTGGATATGTGGGTGTGGCTGTGTGGTGTGTGGCTGTGTGGGTGTGTGGCTATGTGTGGGTGTGGTATGTGTGGGTGTGGTTGTGTGTGGGTGTGTTATGTGGGTGTGGTTATGTGGTTGTGTGGGTGTGTGTGGTGTGTGTGGCTATTTGGATGTGGCTGTGTGGGGTGTGTGGCTATGTGGGTGTGTAGATGGCAGGGTGACTGTGAGTGTGTGTGTGGCTAGTGTGGGTGGTGACTGTGGGAGTGTGTGGCTATGTGGGTGCGTGACTGAGTGTGTGACTATGTGGGTGCGTGGTCTGAGGCTGGGTGTGTGGGTGCATGACTATGTGGGTGTGTGGCTATGTGGGTGGGTGGGTTTGTGTGTGTGGCTGGTGGGTGTGGGTATGTGGGTGGTGTGGGTGTGTGTGGTTGGGTGTGTGGCTGTGTGAGTGTGTGGTTATGTGGTGTGTGTGGCTATGTGGGTGTGTGGATGTGTGATTGTTTTGTATGTGGGTGTGTTGATATGTGGGTGTGTGTGGGCGTGGTTGTGTGGTTATGTGGTTGTGTGTTGTGCGTGTGTGGTTATGTGGGTGTAAGGCGTGGTGTGTGGCTTTATTGTGATAGGCTGTCCGTGCTCAAACTAGTCATAGTTCAGTGAGGTGTTTTCCTAGCTGAGCCTGGAGTGGTGTTGTTTCTATCATTATTACTTCATAAATCAATAAACTTCTTCAGCTTATATGCAATATGTACTTTGTTTTGTTAACACTTTGTATTTACCTGTGAATATACTTTGAATTTATTGTGTTTGTGTATATATCGTTTTAGGAAGTGATGTGTGTTCTTGCAGTTTAATTTGCACACGGTAATACATATTTTTCCTGTGTAGTGGTGGAGAGTCTCCGGTCGCATACTGAGTTTATTTTTCAGTTATTGAGTTTCCTAGAGGTAAAATATCATTCCTGTCTTCCCATTTTTCTCTTTGAGGAAAAACTGTTATAAAAGTTTGGGATGCATTGGCCAAAAGATTTTATTACTGAACACGAGGCCAAGATGATGTTGAGGTAACTAATGACATAATATAGGTGTGGGTGTACCGTGTGAGGTAACCAATGGCATAACAGTATAGGTGTGTGGTATAGCCAAGATAATACTTTAAAAATATTCTCCACAAATATTCCAGGAAAATCTTGATCACACTAACATGTCATTCTATTTGTGAGTTGAGACACGATTACCCCAAAGGCTTTAGCGTGAGGACAAAAGTGCTTGAAACGAGCATTATCAGACTATCCAGGCAGGAGGCAAAAAATTATTATGTTAGCCGGTTGGTGTACAGGTCGCTGCCGGATGTATGTTGGTTTAATTGCAAAATTTATGTCCGCTGATAATTAGTTTAACAGAATGAGTCCTTCCCTTTTATGATGCCTCTTGGTGACCGCTGTGGTGAAGTGTTATTAGTTGTCAGCCGTGTGGTGAAGTCTTGTAACTGTCAGACGTGTGGTGAAGTTAACTGTCGTGTGGTGAAGTCTTTACCTGTCAGCCGTGGTGAAGTGTATTAACTGTCAGCCGTGTGGTGAAGTCTTGTAACTGTCAGCCGTGTGGTGAAGTGTTAACTGTCAGCCGTGTGGTGAAGTCTTTACGTGTCAGCCGTGTGGTGAACTCTTTTAACTGTCAGCCGTGAAGTCTTTAACTGTCAGCCGTGTGGTGAAGTCTTGTAACTGTCAGTCGTGTGGTGAAGTCTTTTTAACTGTCAGCCGTGGTGAAGTCTGTAACTGTCAGCCGTGGTGAAGTGCGTTATTAGTTGTCAGCCGTGTGTAGCCCATCAGCCGTGTGGTGTCTTGTTAGTTGTCAGCTGGTGAAGTCTTATAACTGTCAGCCGTGTGGTGAAGTCTTTATTAGTTGTCAGCCGTGTGGTGAAGTCTTATTAGTTGTCAGCCGTGTGGTGAAGTCTTATTAGTTGTCAGCCGTGTGGTGAAGTCTTTTATTAGTTGTCAGCCGTGTGGTGAAGTCTTATTAGTTGTCAGCCGTGTGGTGAAGTCTTTACGTGTCAGCCGTGGTGAAGTCTTTAACTGTCAGCCGTGTGGTGAAGTCTTTGTGGAAGTCTTTACGTGTCAACCGTGTGGTGAAGTCTTTAACTGTCAGCCGTGTGGTGAAGTGTTGTAACTGTCAGCCGTGTGGTGAAGTCTTTACGTGTCAGCCGTGGTGGTGAAGTCTTTTAACTGTCAGCCGGTGGTAAAGCCTTTGCGTGTCAGCCGTGTGGTGAAGTCTTTAACTGTCAGCCGTGTGGTGAAGCTTTAAACTGTCAGCCGTGTGGTGAAGTCTTTTAACTGTCAGCCGTGTGGTGAAGTCTGTCAGCCGTGTGGTGAAGTCTTTTAACTGTCAGCCGTGTGGTGAAGTCTTATGTCAGCCTTATTCGGCCTCATCCAGCCGCTAGTCATCTTCTTTTTCATTTTTGTCTTTCTTCCTCCACCTCATCCACCTCATCCACCTCATCCACTCCTCCTCCTTCTTCCTCCACCTCATCCACCTCCTCCTCCTCCTCCTCATCCACCTCCTCCTCATCCTCCACCTGTCCACCGCCTCCTGAACTTCTCCCTCCACCTACACCTTGAATTCCTCCTCCCTTCCACCTTCACCTCCTCCCATCTCCACCTCCTCCACCTCCACCATCTCTCCTCCACCTCCACCTACACCCACACTTCCACCCACGCCTTGAATTCTCCTCCCACCTTCACCTCCCATCTCCACCTGCACTCCACCCTACACCTCCACCTACACCCACCTCCACCTCCCTCCTCCACCTCCACCTACTCACACCTCGATCTCCACCTCCACCTACGCCTTGAATTCTCCCTTCTCCACCACCTTCATCCTCCTCCCATCTCCTCCACCCTCCTCCACCTCCACCTTGAATTCCTCCTCCCTCCACCTCCACCTCATACATCTCCTCCACCTACACCTCCACCATTCCACCTCCTCATTCCTTCACAGTCAGATAGAAGTTGAGTTGATTAGAAACATTATAATCCGCCATCAGTTCTCCCATACCACCTGAGTTGAGGAAGGAATGGCCCCAAGTTTTCCCGGCAGTACAGAAGATTACAACACTTGAGCCAAACTTATCCTGTTCGGGGACTGAATTAGCAAATTAGGTGAAGAATGGTCCGTTTGCTGTGCGTTTTTACAAATCATTATAATAAATTAGTTTGAAATCCCTGAAGATTAACTCGCCAGCTTATTTCATCTGATGATTGAACATGTAACCTAACCAATCCCAACCTAACCCAACTCTAACTAACCTACCTATATCCAACTAACCCCAGGCAGCTTTAGGGTGTTTCATATCATCAGGTGTAAAATGACACTTAGGCGGATCCCGTAGAGTAATACTTCAAATACCAACAAGGTGATAATGAACTTAATTAGGTCATAAAATATTATAATCCTGACCTGACCTGACCTGACCTGACCAACTTCCTGACCAATGCTATACCTATCCTTCACCAGCTTACCTCTGACCAGACCACAGTAATGACCTATCCTTCAACAACTGACCTTGACCTGACCACAGTAATGACCTATGCTTACCAGCAACTGACCAGACCACAGTAATGACCTATCCTTCACCAGCTGACTCTGACCTGACCATGCATTGACTGCAATCTTCCACCTTCGCTTACCTCTGACCAGACCACAGTAATGACCTATCCTTCAACAGCTGACCCTTGACCTGACCACAGTAATGACCTATGCTTTACCAGCTAACCTCTGACCTGACCACAGTAATGACTCATCCTTCAACAGCTGACCTTTGACCTGACCACAGTAATGACCTATGCTTACCAGCTGACCTCTGACCTGACCACAGTAATGACCCACCCTTCACCAGCTTACCTGACCAGACCACAGTAATGACCTATCCTTCAACAGCTGACCTTGACCTGACCACAGTAATGACCTATGCTTTACCAGCTAACCTCTGACCAGACCACAGTAATGACCTATCCTTCAACAGCTGACCTTGACCTGACCACAGTAATGACCTATGCTTTACCAGCTGACCTCTGACCTGATCAAGGGCAAAACATATTCTTCACCTATAACCCACTTTGACCTCCATCCTTCTACAGGTAATCATAGCCTTCTGCGTGACTTCAGGAGTGGTGAGCAGTGCAGTAGTGTGTGCTGCATGCCCTGGGTGAAGCGACCAATGTCTCCAACAGTGCGTCTCTCTCCCCGCTGCCGCCAACACCGCCTCCCTGGCTGTGGGAGTGAGTTCCCTTTGTCTCCCTGGCTGTGAAGTGAGTCTCCTTGTTCTCCCTGGCTGTGGTGAGTCTCACTCTTGTTCTCCTGGCTGTGAGTCACCCTCTGTTCTCCCTAGCTGTAGGTGAGTGAATCTCCCTTTGTTCTCTGGCTGTATGTGAGTCTCCTCTTGTTCCCCTGGCTGTAGGTAGTAGTCTCCTTTGTTCTCCCCTGGCTGTGAGGTGAGTCTCCTCTTGTTCCTCCTGGCTGTAGGTGAGTCTCCTCTTGTTCTCCTGGCTGTAGGTGGTCACCCTTTGTTCTCCTGGCTGTAGGTGGTGAATCTCCCTTTGTTCTCCCTGGCTGTAGTGGTCCTTTGTTTCCTGGCTTAGGTCTCTTGTTCTCCTGGCTGTAGGTGAGTCTCCTTTTGTTCCTGGTTGTAGGTGTCTCCCTTGTTCTCCTGGCTGAGGTGGGTTCCTCTTGTTCTCCCTGGCTGTGGGTTTTGGTGTGGTGTTTTGTTTTGGGGGTGGTCTCCTTGTTCTCCTGCTGTAGGTATTCCCTTGTTCTCCTGGCTGTAGGTGAGTCTCCTCATGTTCTCCCTGGCTGTAGGTAATCTCCCTGTTCCCTGGCTGTAGGTGAGTGTTCTCCCTGGCCAGTGAGTCTCCTTGTTTTGGTGTGGTTTTGGGGTTCCTTGTTCTCCTGGCTGTAGGTGAGCCTCTTGTTCTCCCCGGCTGTAGGTGAGTCTCCTCTTGTTCTCCTCCTGGCTGGTGTGAATCTCCTCTTGTTCTCCCTGGCTGTAGGTGAGTCTCCCTTGTTCTCCTGGCTGGGTGAGTCTCCTCTTGTTCTCCTGGCTGTGGTGTTGGTGGGTGAGTCTCCCTCTTGTTCTCCCTGGCTGTAGGTGAGTCTCCCTCTTGTTCTCCCCTGGCTGTAGGTGAGTCTCCTTGTTCTCCTGGCTGTAGGTGAGTCTCCCCTAATCTCTTGTCTCCTGGCTGGTGAGTCTCCCCTGGTGTGGTGTCTCCCTTTGTTCTCCTGGCTTTAGGTGAATCTCCTCTTGTTCTCCCTGGCTGTAGGTGAGTCTCCTTGTTCTCCTCCCCTGGCTGTAGGTGTGAGTCTCCCTCTTGTTCTCCCTGGCTGTAGGTGAGTCTCCTTGTTCTCCCTGGCTAGGTGAGTCTCCCTCTTGTTCTCCTGGCTGTAGGTGAATCTCCTCTTGTTCTCTCCTGGCTTAGGTGAGTCTCCTTGTTCTCCTGGCCGGTGAGTCTCTCTTGTTCTCCCTGGTTTGTGAGAATCTCCTTTGTTCTCCCTGGCTGTAGGTGAGTCTCCCCTGTTCTCCTGGCTGTAGGTGAGTCTCCTCCTTTCCTCCCTGGCTGTAGGTGAGTCTCCCTCTTGTTCTCCTGGCTGTAGGTGAGTCTCCTCCCCCCCTGGCTGTAGGTGAGTCTCCCTTGTTCTCCTGGCTGTAGGTGAGCCCCTCTGTTCTCCCTGGCTGTAGGTGAGTTCCTCTTGTTCTCCTGGCTGTAGGTGAATCTCCTCTTGTTCTCCCTGGCTGTAGGTGAATCTCCCCTTGTTCTCCCTGGCTGTAGGTGAGTCCCCTTGTTCTCCTGGCTGTAGGTGAGCCCCTTTGTTCTCCCGGCTGTAGGTGAATGAATCTCCTTTGTTCTCCCCCAGGTGAGCTCCCTTTCTTCTCCCGGCTGTAGGTAGTGAGCCCCTCTTGTTCTCCTGGCTGTAGGTAAGTCTCCTCTTGTTCTCCTGGCTGTAGGTGAGTCCTCTTGTTCTCCCTGGCTGTAGGTGAGTCTCCTCTTCCTCCTGGCTGAGGTGAACTCCTTGTTCTCCCTGGCTGTAGGTGAATCTCCTCTGTTCTCCCTGGCTGTAGGTGAGTCTCACTCTTGTTCTCCTGGCTGTAGGTGAGTCTCCCTTTGTTCTCCTGGCTGTAGGTGAATGAATCTCCCTTTGTTCTCCCTGGCTGTAGGTGAGTCTCCCTTTCTTCCCCGCTGCAGGTAGTGAGTTCCCTTTGTTCTCCTGGCTGTAGGTAAGTCTCACTTGTTCTCCCTGGCTGTAGGTGAGTGAATCTCCCTTTGTTCTCCCTGGCTGTATGTGAGTCTCCTCTTGTTCTCCCTGGCTGTAGGTGAGTGAGTGAGACTTACCTTTCTCTGTTATCTTCACCTGTTATCCACGTGTTATCTTGTTATCGTACCCACCTGTTATCTTACACACCTGTTATTCGCGCACACATGTCATCTTGCCCACCTGTTATCGTGCCCACCTGTTATCTTACACACCTGTTATCGTGCACACCTGTTATGTTGCTCACCTGTTATCGTGCCCAACTGTTATCTTACACACCTGTTATCGACACACATGTCATCTTGCCCACCTGTTATCGTGCCCACCTGTTATCTTATTAACACCTGTTATCGTACAACCTGTTATGTTGCTCACCTGTTATCGTGCCCACCTGTTATCTTTACTCACCTGTTATCGTGCCCATCTGTTATCGTACACACCTGTTATCGCACACCTGTTACCTTATCTACCTGTTATAATGTTCACTTGTTAACTTATCTAATTATCGTTCGTCTGTCTTCTCGAGTTTCCTGTTATCTTACCCAGTGTTATCTCCCTGTGCTATCTTCCCCACATCTTACAGGTGTTTTAACCTTTACCCAACCTATCATCATCCTCTTGTGTTATCATGCCTCCTGTTATCATCCATATGTGTTATCATGCCCTCCTGTTATCATCCATACATGTCATCATGCCCTCCTGTTATCATCCATCCGTGTTATCATCCATACGTGTTATCATGCCCTCCTGTTATCATCCACACATGTTATCATGCCCTGCTATCATCCATACGTGTCATCATGCCCTCCTGTTATCATCCATGCGTGTATCATCCTTACGTGTTATCATGCCCTCCTGTTATCATCCACACGTGTTATCATGCCTCATGTTATCATCCACACGTGTTATCATGCCATCCTGTTATCATCCACACGTGTTATCATGCCCTCCTGTTATCATCCAAGCGTGTTATCGTGCCCTCCTATTATCATCTACACGTTATCATGCCTCCTGTTATCATCCATACGTGTCATCATGCCCTTGTTATCATCCATACGTGTTATCATGCCCTCATGTTAATCCACACGTGTTGTCATGCCATCCTGTTATCATCCACACGTGTTATCATGCCCTCCTGTTATCATCCATGCGTGTTATCATGCCTCCTGTTATCATCCACACGTGTTATGCCCTTGTTATCATCCATACGTGTTATCATTCCCTCTTGTTATCATCCATACGTGTTGTCATGCCCTCCTGTTATCATCCATACATGTCATCATGCCCTCCTGTTATCATCCATCCGTGTTATCATCCATACATGTTATCATGCCCTCCTGTTATCATCCACACGTGTTATCATGCCCTGGTTATCATCCATACGTGTTATCACGCCCTCTTGTTATCATCCATACATGTTATCATGCCCCTAGTTATCATCCATACGTGTTATCATGCCCTCCTGTTATCATCCATACGTTTCATCAAGCTCCCGTTATCATCCATCCGTGTTATCATCCATACGTGTTATCATGCCCTCCTGTTATCATCCATACGTGTTATCATGCCTCCTATTATCATCCACACGTTATCATGCCCTCTTGTTATCATCCATACGTGTCATCATAGCTGTCTTTGTTATCATCCATACGTTATCATGCCTCATGTTATCATCCACACGTTATCATGCCATCCTGTTATCATCCACACGTTATGCCCTCCTGTTATCATCCAAGCGTGTTATCGTGCCCTCCTGTTATCATCCACACGTGTTATGCCCTCCTGTTATCATCCATAAGTGTTAATATGCCCTCCTGTTATCATCCACACGTGTTATCATGCCCTTGTTATCATCCATACGTGTTATCATGCCATCCTGTTATCATCCATACGTGTTATCATGCCCTCCTGTTATCATCCATATGTTATCATGCCCTCCTGTTATCATCCATACATGTCATCATGCCTCCTGTTATCATCCATCCGTGTTATCATCCATGCGTGTTATCATGCCCTCCTGTTATCATCCACTGCTATCATGCCCTCCTGTTATCATCCATACGTGCATCATGCCTCCTGTTATCATCCATGCGTTATCATCCATACGTGTTATCATGCCCTCCTGTTATCATCCACACGTGTTATCATGCCATCCTATTATCATCCACACGTTATCATGCCCTGTTATCATCCATACGTGTCATCATGCCCTCTTGTTATCATCCATACGTGTTATCATGCCCTCATGTTATCATCCACACGTGTTATCATGCCATCCTGTTATCATCCACACGTGTTATCATGCCATCCTGTTTTCATCCACACGTGTCATCATGCCCTCTTTGTTATCATCCATACGTGTTATCATGCCTTCATGTTATCATCCACACGTTATCATGCCATCCTGTTATCATCCATGCGTGTTATCATGCCCTCCTTATCATCCACACGTGTTATGCCCTCCTGTTATCATCCATAAGTGTTATCATTCTCTCTTGTTATCATCCATACGTGTTGTCATGTCCTCCTTATCATCCATACGTGTCATCATGCCCTCCTGTTATCATCCAAGCGTGTTATCATGCCTCCTGTTATCATCCACACGTGTTATGCCCTCCTGTTATCATCCATAAGTGTTATCATTCCTCTTGTTATCATCCATACGTGTTGTCATGTGCCCTGTTATCATCCATACGTGTCATCATGCCCTCCTGTTATCATCCATCCGTGTTATCATCCATACGTGTTATCATGCCCTCCTGTTATCATCCACACGTGTCATCATGCCCTCCTGTTATCATCCATACGTGTTATCATGCCTCTTGTTATCATCCACACGTGTTATCATCCACATGTTATCATGCCCTCCCGTATCATCCACACGTATATCATGCCTCCTGTTATCCATATGTGTTATCATGCCCTGTTATCATCATCCATACGTGTTATCATGCCATCCTGTTATCATCCACACGTGTTATCATGCCCTGTTATCATCCATACGTATATCATGCCCTCCTTATTATCCATACGTGTTATATCATGCTCCTGTTATCATCCACAAGTGTTATCATGCCTCTGTTATCATCCATGCTTGTTATCATGCCTTCCTCTTATCATCCATATGTGTTATCATGCCTCTTGTTATAATCCATGTGTTATCATGCCCTCTTGTTATCATCCACACGTGTTATCATGCCCTCCTGTTATCATCCATACGTGTTATCATGCTCCTGTTATCATCCACACGTGTTATCATGCCCTCTTGTTATCATCCACACGTGTTATCATGCCCTTGTTATCATCCACACGTGTTATCATGCCTCTGTTATCATCCACGTGTTATCATCCATACATGTTATCATGCCCTCCTGTTATCATCCATACGTGCTATCATGCTCCTCCTGTTATCATCCATGCGTGTTATCATGCTCCTGTTATCATCCACACGTGTTATCATGCCCTTCTTGTTATCATCCACGTGTTATCATGCCTCTTGTTATCATCCACACGTGTATCATGCCCTCCTGTTATCATCCATACGTGTTATCATGCCCTCTTGTTATCATCCTCACGTGTTATCATGCTCCTCTTGTTATCATCCACACGTGTTATCATGCCCTCCTGTTATCATCCATACGTGTTATCATGCCTCCTGTTATCATCCACACGTGTTATCATGTTCTTGTTATCATCTCACACGTGTTATCATGCCCTCTTGTTATCATCCACACGTGTTATCATGCCGTCTGTTATCATCCACACGTTATCATGCCGTCTTGTTATCATCCACACGTGTTATCATGCCTCCTGTTGTCATCCTTACGTTATCATCCCACCTGTTATAACGCCCACGTGTAATCATGCACCTCTTGTTATCATCCTCACGTGTTATCATGCCCTCTGTTATCATCCACACGTGTTATCATGCCTTCCTGTTATCATCCATACGTGTTATCATGCCCTCTTTGTTATCATCCACACGTGTTATCATGCCTCTTTGTTATCATCCACGTGTTATCATGCCGTCTTTGTTATCATCCACACGTGTTATCATGCCGTCTTGTTATCATCCATACGTGTTATCATGCCCTCCTGTTTTCATCCACACGTGTTATCATGCCCTCCTGTTATCATCCACACGTTATCATGCCCTCTTGTTATCATCCTCACGTTATCATGCTCTTGTTATCATCCACGTGTTATCATGCCCTCCTGTTATCATCCATACGTGTTATCATGCCCTCCTGTTATCATCCACACGTGTTATCATGCCCTTCTTGTTATCATCCACACGTGTTATCATGTCTCTTGTTATCATCCACACGTGTTATCATGTCTTGTTATCATCCACACGTTTTATCATGCCGTCTGTTATCATCCACACGTGTTATCATGCCCTCCTGTTATCATCCACACGTTATCATCCATACATTTATCATGCCCTCCTGTTATCATCCATACGTGCTATCATGCCCTCTATTATCATCCACACGTGTTATCATGCCCTCCTGTTATCATCCACACGTGTTATCATGCCCTTGTTATCATCCACACGTTATCATGCCCTCCTGTTATCATCCATACGTGTTTTCATGCCCTCCTGTTATCATCCACACGTGTTATCATGCCCTCTTGTTATCATCCTACACGTGTTATCATGCCCTCTTGTTATCATCCACACGTGTTATCATGCCCTCTTGTTATCATCCACACGTGTTATCATGCCCTCTTGTTATCATCCACACGTGTTATCATGCCCTCTTGTTATCATCCATACGTGTTATCATCCCCACCTGTTGTAACGCCCACGTGTAATCATGGTCACCCGTTACTGCCCCTGACAGCTGTACTGGTCAGTTCGTACTTGCCTGTGGTGCACAAGGTCCACCTGAGCGTCTGCCTCAAGCTGTCCATAGAGGCAGTGAGGATGGGCAGTATACTGGTCCAGATCCTCCACCTGATGGTCGTGGCACTCAACCATTACATTGGCACCCTGAGGCCCCTCCACTACGCTGCCACCATGACCCTCCATGCTCAAGGTCATTCTCGTGGCCCTCTGGATCATTCCAAGTAAGTACTCATCCTAACCTCTCCGCCGTATCTGACTTTCGAGCAATTGCTATTGGAGCATTGAAGAGCATGTATTAGATTGATGGAGCATTTGGAGTAGCCAGGAACATTTTTAGAGATAAATAACTATACCATATGGGTGTAGGATGTTGATCATTGAAGAACGTTTTGTTGAGCTTGAGAGTGTGTGGGTGGAGCATTAGAGAAGTGGAGCAGCCCACCCGGGCACAGGTCATGGAGGCCTCGGAGGCGAAAAATAAGAGTAAAACGAAATTAAAATAGAAAAGAAAAAGATTATATTAATCCACACCACGAAGATGCCGGAAACCAGCTTTAAAAGTGAGATAGATTGTAAGAGCATGGAAACACAGAAGAAGGCAGAGCATTCCACAGTTGGCTGTGTGAGGAAAGAAGGAGGTACTATAACGGGTTATTCTAGTGTGACCGACATCCACAGAGAAATGGTGGGCACCGCGGGCAAGACGATGTTATGAGCCCACGGCCTTGCCGGCGGTACACAGGATGCCAAATCCACCGAACATTGCCCGTTAAAGTACCTGTAAAAGAGAGAGAGTGAAGCAACATAGCGAAGAGAAAGGAGAGAGATTATCAACTAAAGGAGGAGAGTTAATATGACGAAATGACTTTGATTCCACCCTATTCTAACAGTTGGAGCATTTGGGAGTGTCTGACTGGAGCACTTTAAGATATAACTGGAACATACTTGCACGGTGTGTGTGTGTGTGTGTGTGTGTGTGTGTGTGTGTGTGTGTGTGTGTGTGTGTGTGTGTGTGTGTGTGTGTGTGTGTGTGTGTGTGTGTGTGTGTGTGTGTGTGTGTGTGTGTGTGTGTGTGTGTGTGTGTGTGTGTGTGTGTGTGTGTGTGTGTGTGTGTGTGTGTGTGTGTGTGTGTGTGTGTGTGTGTGTGTGTGTGTGTGTGTGTGTGTGTGTGTGTGTGTGTGTGTGTGTGTGTGTGTGTGTGTGTGTGTGTGTGTGTGTGTGTGTGTGTGTGTGTGTGTGTGTGTGTGTGTGTGTGTGTGTGTGTGTGTGTGTGTGTGTGTGTGTGTGTGTGTGTGTGTGTGTGTGTGTGTGTGTGTGTGTGTGTGTGTGTGTGTGTGTGTGTGTGTGTGTGTGTGTGTGTGTGTGTGTGTGTGTGTGTGTGTGTGTGTGTGTGTGTGTGTGTGTGTGTGTGTGTGTGTGTGTGTGTGTGTGTGTGTGTGTGTGTGTGTGTGTGTGTGTGTGTGTGTGTGTGTGTGTGTGTGTGTGTGTGTGTGTGTGTGTGTGTGTGTGTGTGTGTGTGTGTGTGTGTGTGTGTGTGTGTGTGTGTGTGTGTGTGTGTGTGTGTGTGTGTGTGTGTGTGTGTGTGTGTGTCTAATAATTATTTTTCGTACGATCTATGGCAGTTATTGTCGAGGGTTCTGTTCTTTCACCTAATCTCTAACTTATTTTTATCAATGATTTACTTCACACTATCCATTCTTACGCTAATGATTCTACTCTTCAATTTTCTTCATATTTTCCCCTTCCCCCTAACTCTTAAACTGGATCTGTTTCTAGAGCTGATATCATTTTATCTATCAATGCGGATATGTGGAGCATCTCCGAATGGGGAGGTAGAAACTTGGTTAATTTCAATAGCAATAAAACTCAGTATTTACCAATTTCACTTTCCAAAACAGAAAATCTCCCACCAATCACATTTCAGGACCCAATCACTCTGGCAGATTATAAAATAGATATACTAAGCCTCACCATTTCCTCTAATATGTCATGGAAGCCACACATCCACAACATTGCTAAAGCTGCCTCCCGAAAGCTGGGAATGCTGTACAGATGCCGTAGCTACTTCACTCCTGAGCAGTTGCTTCAAGTATATAAGGGATTTATTCATCCTAACTTGGAGTACAGCTCTCATATCTGGGGTGGCTCTTCTTCTGTCCATCTCTTAGATAGGGTGGAATCCAAGGCATTTCGTCTTATTAACTCTCCTCCTTTAGTCGACAATCTCTCTTCCCTTTCTCTTCGCCTCAATGTTGCTTCACTCTCTCTCTTTTACAGGTACTTTAACGGGCAATGTTCGGTGGATTTGGCATCCTGTGTACCGCCGGCAAGGCCGTGGGCTCGTCTTGCCCTCGGTGCCCACCATTTCTCTGTGGATGTCGGTCACACTAGAATAACCCGTTATAGTAACTCCTTCTTTCCTCACACAGCTAAACTGTGGAATGCTCTGCTTTCTTCTGTGTTTCCACACTCACACAATCTGTCTCACTTCATAAAGCTGGTGTTCCGGCATCTTCGTCGTGTAGATTAATATAATCTTTTCTTTTTTTTATCTTTTTTTCTTATTTCCTCCCCCCCCGCCCCCGTTGTGGGTGGATGACCTGTGCCCGGGTGGGCTATTCCCCGTAAAAAAAAAAGGTCACTTTTACTTCAGTCATATTAACACCTTGAGTACGATGAGTTATTCTCTTGACAACAGTGATTTCCACATCCATTAAGAACGACGATAATATACTGAAGAGGTTACGCCAGCGTGTTCATTTAAATCAATGTACTCAGGAGATTCAAATTCTTTCCCAAGCTAAACCCATCTCCACAAGGGATTACCTTGCTATAAACATAACATAGCCTAGCATAAGTAGCATAACATAACCTAGCCTAGCCTAGCCTATCCTATCCTATCCTATCCTATCCTATCCTATCCTATCCTATCCAATCCTACCCTACCCTACCCTACCCTACCCTACCCTACCCTACCACACCACAAAGCACACCACACCACACCTCACTACACCACACCACACTACACTACATCACACCTCACCTCACCTCACTACACTACAACACACCACACTACACTACACCACACCTCACTACACTACGATACACCACACCACAACACAACACAACACAAGGCAACACAACACAAGGCAACACAACACACAAAACTAGATAAAAGTAACAATCATCAAGGTGTACAATTCCTGACAAAAGCTTTTATTCTTCAAAGTCTGGCAAACAGTGTGGAAATATTCTCTCTTCACGGTCACTGGGTATTGTCTGGCCTCGGTGAAGGTCTGCAGGAGATCGGGGTGAGATTGAGTCTGCTTTTTGAAGTGTGTGTGAAGTGTTGGGGCTCTTGTTTGTTTAGGGAGTGACTGACTGTGTGTGTGTGTTTTGTGTGTGTGTGTGTGTGTGTGTGTGTGTGTGTGTGTGTGTGTAACAGTACAACAATATTATTGACAGGGAGTGAATACAGTGGTTAACAACACACTGGTTGACTACGAGTTGTTGATAATTTTTACAGTGGTTGGGATTGGACCGATCTTATAGCGATTAGTACGTGGTCGTATGGGCTGGATGCGGTTGTAGTGTCGAACAGAGTTTGCGGACGAGGCATCTCGGGTGGAAGCAGGAGACAATGTCGAGGATGGTGCAGAAGCTTCTCACCAAATTTGTAGACGAGGTCGTGGTGATCAGAGGGAAGCGAGAGAGTCAGTGTATTGAGTGCCTCTTGTTATGTGGAGTAGGAGGGGAAGAGAATAGTCCTGCACGCCCTCGTCTGCACTCTTTTCAGGACTCCTCGGCGTGTAGCCACAAAGGAAGCATAGGAGAGCTTAGAAAGTATGAATGTTGAGTGAATACTCAAAAGCTCAGACGTGGGAACTCCGATGGATTTGAGACAACAGAGGAGCTGGAGACGATAGCAAGAATATTTGACGGTTGTACTAAAGTATGTTTTCCAGTTCAGTTTGTTATCCAAGTGACGCCGAGGAGCTTGGAGGGGTCCACAACCTGGAGTGTGTTGGGCCCAGTGTGTTGGAGGGAAGTGGGTCAAGGTCAGAGGAGAGGTTGGTGTTTATATCCATGGCCTTGGTATGGTTAATGGTGATATGGTTGGTTGAGGACCAATTTTGGAGACTGTTCAATATATTCTGTATGGTGTTGTAGACGGGAACCGAGTTGTTTACACTGATGTCAATGGTGGAGTCGTTGACATATTTCCAGCGAGCGGGAGTTTCTCTCGGGGCATCATTGATAAGCTTGAAGAAGCATAGCTGTCCCATTTTAATGCCTTGGGAGACGTCACAGGTGAGTAACTGTGTACGGCTTAGCGTCGGTCACTAAGGAAGTCTGTAAACCATGGTATAAGACTTCTCCAAAACCCAAGGTCGATGGCTTTGTTGATAATTAAGTTGTGATGATTATACTCTGCCCACTTAAAGTAGACAGCCATCTGGAATGAACGAAAAGACGTCATGACTGGCGGACACAACCGCTAGTGGAACAGTGTCTCAGGCACAGAGCTCGACTTTTTCTGCCCTTGTCCTCTCGCTTTCTCGTAATTCTTTGTTTTTTGTCACTCACAGTGCTATGTTTATTATACATTGTAAATGTTAATAATTCATTTACACATCATTACTGTTTACATACAAACCTTAACTAACAAGGTTACTGGAAGTGATTCGTTGCGTGTTTGTGTCAGTGTGGTTAACACAGGTTTCATCCAGGCCATCTGCTGGTAGGGCTACTTGTGTTGCTCTTTTACATTAACCTGAGGTACTTTACATTTAGTATCATCTGGATTAGTACACATGACATGGTGTTAGTAAATACATATGAGAATGTTACCACGATTGTCACTTCTTATTTATTTATTTTATTTATTTTTTACATTTCTATTATAAGTGTATACATATTTTACAGTGGAGTTGATAATACATTAATATAATAAGAGAGGGAAGTAATACAACATGGGTTATATTAAGGTGAAACAAGGGGACAGGCACAGTCAGGATCATGTCTTGACGGCAAATATATATTTACTACAATGGTAATTTCTATCTACGTAACAATATATGATATAATGGTCTTGATGGTACAATAAAAGCAAGAGTATAAAGTAAGTGTTACAAAAATATTAATACCCCGACAATAGATATTTTTTAAGAGACGATTAATTTTAGAACAAGGGA